TAAGGAAATTGGCCTGTAGTTTTCCTTTTTGGAGGTGTCTTTGTCTGGTTTTGGGATGAGAGTAATATTGGCTTCATAAAATGAGTTAGGCAGTGTTCCTTCCCTTTTTATTTCATGGAACAGTTTAAAGAGAGTTGGTATTAGTTCTTCTTTAAACATCTGATAAAATTCATCAGTGAATCCATCAGGTCCTGGACTTTTCTTTTTTGGGAGGCTCTCGATTGCTACTTCAATTTGTTTTTGTGCTATAGGTCTATTCAGGTGATTAATATCCTCTTGGTTCAGTTTTGGTTGGTTGTAAGTTTCTAGAAATCTTTCCATATCTTCGTGATTTTCAAATTTATTAGAGTATAGGCTCTCAAAGTAGTCTCTGATGATTTTATGGATTTCTGTGGTGTTTGTTGTTATCTTTCCTTTTGCATTTCTGATTTTACTGACTTGGGTTTTTTCTATCCTCATTTTAGTCAGATTTGCCAGGGGCTTGTCAATCTTATTTATTTTTTTCAAAGAACCAGCTTTTGTTTCATTGAGTCTTTGTATTTTTTTGTTTCTATTTCATTGATTTGAGCTCTTATTTTAATTATTTTTTTCCTTCTGCTTGTTTTGGGATTTGCTTGTTCTTGTTTTTCTAGGAGTTTGAGCTGTCATGTTAGGTCATTGATTTGAGATCTTTCTGTCTTTTTGATATATGCATTCATGGCTATAAATTTTTCTCTTAGTACTGCCTTTACTGTGTCCCAAATGTTCCGGTAGGTCGTGTTTTCATTTTCATTAACTTCCAGGAACCTTTTAATTTCCTGTTTTATTTAAGCAATGACCCACTCATTGTTGAATAATGTGTTGTTCAGATTCCAATTGTTTGCATGTTTTTTACTGCTGTTTTTGTTGTTGATTTCTAATTTTAATGCATTGTGGTCAGACAGAATGAAAGGGATTATTTCTATTTTCTTATATTTAGTGAGGCTTGCTTTGTGCCCTACAATATGATCAGTTTTGGAAACAGTTCCATGCACTGCTGAGAAGAATGTATATTTTGCAGAAGTTGGAGGAAATATTCTGTAGACATCAGCTAGGTCCATTTGATCTATGGTGTGATTTAGTTCTAGGATTTCTTTACTGATTTTTTTTGGATGACCTATGTATTGGTGATAGGGGGTTATTAAGGTCTCCCCCTACCACTGTGTTGGAGTCTATACATGCCTTTAGGTCCTTCAGAATATAATTGAAGTTGGGTGCATTGACTTTGGGTGCATATAGGTTGATAATTGTTATTTCCTTTTGGTGTATTTCTCCTTTTATTAGTATGGAGTGTCCATCTTTATCTCGTTTCATCAAAGTATGTTTGTCCGAGATAATTATTGCTTCCCCTGTCTGTTTTCGGGGACCATTGGCTTGGTAAATCTTCTTCCAGCCTTTCATTCTCAGCCAGTTCTTATTTCTGTTGATGAGGTGGGTCTCTTGTAGTCGGCTGATTGTTGGATCTTCCTTTTTAATCCAGTTTGCCAGTCAGTGTCTTTTAATGGGAGAATTTAGTCCATTAACATTCAGTGTTAGTACTGATAAATAAGTGGTGATCCCTGTCATATAGTTGTCTTTGTTGATTAAGAGTTTGATTGTGTGTAGCTGAATCAATGTGTGCAGAATTCCTTGGGGAATCTTTTGTAGTGGTGGCTTGGTGGTCATATATTGTTTTAGTTTCTGCTTATCATGGAAGTCTTTTATTGTTCTGTCTCTTTTGAATGGTAGTTTTGCTTGGTGGAGTATCCTAGGATTGAAATTATTTTCATTCAGTGCTTGAAAGACCTCACTCCATGCTCTTTTGCTTTTAATGTTTCTGTTGTGAAGTCTGCTGTGATTTTGATGGGTTTACTTTTGTATGTTGTTTTTTTCTGTCTTACAGCCTTCAATATTCTTTCTCTAGTCTCTGTACTTGTTCTTTTAATGATAATATGTCATGGAGTAGTTCTACTTTGGTAAGGTCTGTTTGGTGTTCTGGAGGCTTCCTGTACCTGAATTGGCATAGTTTTCTCCAGATTTGGAAGTTTTCTGTCATTATTTTGTTGAATATATTATGAATTCCTTTTGCTTGCACCTCTTTTCCTTCTTCAATGCCCATGATTCTCAGGTTTGGCCTTTTGATGGAGTCAGTGAGTTCTTGCATTTTCTTTTCACAGGTCTTGTGTTGTTTAACTAATAGTTCTTCAGTTTTTCCTTTAACTGCCATTTCATCTTCAAGTTCTGAGATTCTGTGTTCTCTTTGTTCTATTCTTCTAGAATGGCCTTCCCTTTTTTTTGTATTTCTGTTTCATTCTTTTTTATGAGGTTCTCCATATCATGAGATATTGTCAATTTGTGCCCTTATGTCTCTGTTTATGGTGGTCTCATTTTCAGTTTGCCATTTATTTAGGGCTTCTATGATTTCATTTATTTGTTTCTGGGTTTTCTCATATTCTTTGTTTTTGTTATCTTGGAATTTCTTGAGTGCCTCCTGTACATTTTGGTTGACCATGTCTGGCAACATCTCTATGAAATTCTTTTTTTTTTTGGTTTTTAAAGTTTTTTATTTTTGAAATTTTTTATTTTTTAAAATTATTTTCACCATGCTTGATCAAAACTGTGTGTAATAAATCTACAAATAAGGCAGGCTCACTGTAGTACAATTAGTAAAAAAGGTTGCTTTCAAATCCCTTCATGTCCAAAGTGCCTTTCATACTTGCTACACCCTTTATCGACGAGACACACACTTGTTTTCAGTTTAATTTATTGTGTGCATTTTAAAGTGAAAGTTAAAACACACAAACCACAGAAGCTTCATAGTACTGATAGTACTGACCAATTTTAAAACAAAAACACTGATCATTTATGCACATTCCTCATCTTTAATTTTACATCGTGTTATACAGAGGTACTAATGACACACACACACATTCTAACTCCTTATAAGCTTTTTGTGAAGCAGCGAGATATTGCATCGTAGCACAGCACAGACGGTTCCTAAGAAACCACAGCAGCAGTATTTGGTGAATGGTTATGCATAGAACTGACTTGGAGGGATGTTAAACATCCCTCATGAAACAGGTAGCACACATATACTAACATAGAAAATGTAACTGTTATTAATATAACGCTTTATGCTTTAAGTTTAAAACTCTGGGATACTTTAAAAGCAGACAACACAAAGTGCTTTACTTGAAGACTCCATAACCAAATACTAACCTATTAGTCCCCTGAGAGTCTCTTAAGTTTTGAGGACTGGTCATGGGCAAGTGAACTTTAAATACATACAAAAGCACTTAATTTAACAGTCACAATCTAGTTAACATTGGCTACATGTTCACTAAAACATACCTGTGGAGAAAAACTGACTTTAAGATTTCATTGTTGACTTACAGTAACTTCAAAAATTGTTACAGAAAAAATTGTTAGCACGGAAAAAAGCATCACTTTCACGTCTTTCAACATGTTTCAGATGCCGTATTTTGTGAATCCATTACTTTAAATATTCTAAACGTTCAACAAAATAGTATTTGAAATTGTTCTTAACCCTAATACCACCTAAGGAAAAGGGCCAGCCTGCCTATGAAATGGTTATCCGATACAGAACGGTCTGTTTCCACTATGAAAATCCATTAAGTTCTATAGTTAATTTGAGGTAAATATTTAAATCCTCACTAACACTGTTACACAGATATTTAGTGTCTTGGCATTTAAATCTCAGCAATGCTACTTGCCATACAGGCAATCTTCACAAAAAATGCCAGAGGCAAAAGAAAATGGATTTGGGAATGGCTGGCTGAGAAGGAAATGAAAAACTCTACCCTGAGTCCTCAATTGTAGACTCCTCAAAAAGATGGCATACCTGATCACCATCATTTTGTGGAAGGGTCCAGGCAACATTCTAATGTTTGTATGTGTTTTTAATGCTCATAACCTTTTAAACTTAAAACTAACCAAGGGCTTATCCACTTCCCACTGACAGACGGAAAACGCACTTGTGATGTAGTTAAGCTCAGCTACAAAAGCATTAAAACAAAACAGGAAAAGAGACAGAAATACCATACCACATAATTCTGAATTAACCACTATTTCTCTTCCCTTTCTCAATAGCCTTAGAAATACATACAATGGTAAGTGGAGTACACAAAAAGTCTTAAACGAAGAATTAGTTTGTGGCATGAGTAATTTCTCTTTACTCTCCCCACATGAGCAAGTATAAGCTATTAATATGCTTTTCAGGATATGTCTCAAGTTAAGCAGAACATTTAGAAAAATTCTGTAAAATATGCTTGAACCCTAGCTGCCAGTAAGTAATGCCCGCATGTGTATCTTTACATGGATTAATTTGGGCGTGACTACAGATTTCGGAGTGGAGGGTTATACCAGCCTTCTTTAATACTGACACAACAGGAAACTCTCCAGCTAAAGTTTTTCAGCAACTATAAGCATCTAGACCTTAGATATCCACCACAAAACACAAACGTAAAAAAGAACCCAGAGCTCAAAACATTACACTATGAAAAATTCTAATGTAAATATCCTCCCAGTACCAAGATGCTTTTGGGCATTAATCATTTTTTCTAACTAATGGCCATTTTAATGTGGTATTTAACTTGTATTTGATACATTAAAATTAACGCTAGAAATTACATCACTGGTTTTTATGCACACAGTCACAGTACATCCAATAAGGAAATGAAGACAGAATGACTGCGCCCCACCCTCGGCTGCTGGGGATCTTCCCCCAGCAAATATATAAAGTTCTGCTCTGAATTCCCTTTCAGTATGTCCAAAGAACCACAATATCAGCAAAGAGGTGTTCAAGGGGAATACAACCTGGGGCAGAGCCAGTGAACTATCAATACAAAAGGTGTCAAACACGAGGAATTGAGGTATCAAACATAGTTACACACCACCAGAAAAGAGAGGTGATGCCTAGCTCTTGAAAAACAAAGATTAAAAATAAAGAACTTTGATTATCAAAATAAATTGGCTTTGCATTTCATTTTTGTACAAAGCAGGGAACACTAAACAGGAAGGCTTGCTAATCCCTATCTCTGTTCCCTAGTAAACACTCAGTCCAAAGATCAGTTTAGATAAATGTGGAAACCTGGCAAGAGTCATTTAACAGTTCAGCAGGAATTGTCGCCCACTATTTTTTCAATACCTAGTTATCTTTGAGGTCTTGTCACTGAATTGTTGTTTGTGAAACCACTGTTGTTTCTCTACAACACATGCCTGGGACATAAAGTCCTCCCATATAAAGGAAATGACTAACCCTACTCTTCCTACACTAGAAGACAGCTCTTAGATTCCTATTACTATTCTCAAATCTTGAATAAGTTGCCCCAAAAAGTATATTTCATCAAAGAGAAATGTCTTAACATTATAATAGCAGAATTAAGTTCCCCAATAAATAACTGCTACCTTGAAAAGAAAAATAAATTTACATATTACCGTTTTTACTTAATCTAAGAGCCCATCAATTAAGATACACCATATGTATCACTAAGAAAAAGCACTACCCATTAAACTATGACACATGCCTTGTATCACAGAAAACATTTATTTTATACTTATTGAAACAGTGCTTTTAAAGTTAAACAGATTTTTATCACACCTATCTTGTGCAAACTAAAGAATGTATGAAACAAATTAGTTAAGTTCATATAACTTCATACTCTTCTGAATCACTTTTCAAATCACAGTCAAGGATGTCTGCATTTTCCCATACATGGCCCTCGGTGTCAAGAGAACTAGTGATGCAGCATTTCTTGAAAGAGTGCTCCAACCCTGCCTTCTGTCTAATGGCAGTGAGAAGCTTTGGATAAAACGCTGCTTGATGTCTTAATGACAATCCTGCTCAACACATGAATCGGTCACACCAGACTTTTGTTGCTTTGAATTTTGTTTCATCAATTCCAAAGGTCTTGGCAATTTCTTTGCCTTCAACTGCATCACTTGGCCTGTGATGAACAATCCTTTTTGAGCATGCCTCACTAACAAAACATAGTACAGCTTCATCTACTTGTGCTATCTTTCTTTCTTCGGTCCCATGAAGCGTTTTGTCGTTGCCTTGCAAGAAAAGAGGGAATTTTGATCATTCCCCCAATGGCAAACATTTGCTTCACTAATATCAAACATCCAGCCGGCTGTGTTTCCATGCTCTTCTGCATATGCAATAACCTCGTTTCAATGCTGAATCACAGCGTAATGTTCTTGAAGGCATTTTTAAATGCCAACTCAACCTGATACATTTGATACCAATAACACACACCAGTTAAGGAGACGATAATATGACAAGCTGTAAATTCACACATGCACAAGCTAGGTTGAGGACATGGCTATCACCTGGTTGACAGTAATGAGATGCATCCCAACTTCAGACAAGTTAAAATGTCAAGAGTACATTTTATGACTAATAAAATGTTTTTTTCAAGCCTGAAATGCTTAACAGAGTCACATCAGTGCAAAACAGTAAGCGCAAGAGCCAAGGAACAAATGTGTTAAGCAGAGAGCTAGAGAAGCAAAAAAAAACAACAACAAACCTTTAAGATGAATTTTTCAGTGGTCCAATTTGGTTTTAAATTCCCTTTATTTCTATATGGCTTACATGTAAATCTTTTTTGAATTGGATATGAAATCCAAGTACAAATTTTTTCCAGTCCCTTTGTGAATTTCTGTCTTCACTGACAGGTTCGCAATTGCCTTTTGTCATATATGGTGGCTGGGGTCAGTGGCCTTCATCCACGGGAGCCCTACGCTGGCGAACAGATCTTATCCTGTGTGGAGAGGCTGATGGGTCTTCTTCAGTGTCAGACCCTGAAGGCTCGTGGTCTCCCTCCTGGGATCCTGTGTCTCCCACCAGTTCCCGTAGAAACTTGAATTTAGATAAAAATAGATGCCATACAAAATACCAGCCGCACACCATCAGAAGCAGGACGATCAGCAGCGTGGCCACGAACACCAGCAGCGTCAGCCCGACGTTGTGCCACATCTTGAGGACAGGACGGGGGTCGCCTCCGGGCGGCAAGCAGGAGTGCGGCGAGTGCCGGCTTCAGCGGCAGGCGCCGGAGCGCCGGGGCGGCATGGGCGGCAGGCGCCCCTCCTCTATGAAATTCTTATTGATTACTTGTAGTCTTTCTTCTTTCAGGGTGTTCTTGTGGGCTTTGTTGGGTTCCTTGGTATAGTTTATCTTTGTTTTGTTGGAGTCTGGATCTGGGTATCCATTTTCTTCATTTTGCTCTAAATCCTGTATTACTTTATTTCTGGGGGGAGAATGGTTTCCTTCCCTTTTTCTTCTTCCCATATTTCCATTAGGTACTGTTTCTATCCCTGGACTATGTGTAGTTTAGTATTAGCTGGGTAACAATATTAATACTAACAAAACCAAGAAAGAAGGATAAAAAAGAAAGAGAGATGGAAAGATAAAAGGAATAGAGTAGAGAGGAAAAGAGAAAAAAAGGGGAAAAAAAGAAAGAAAAAATGGGAGAGATGGTGGATGATCAAACAGCAAAGCAGGCAAGCAAATCCCTTAAAGAAGGGAAAAAAAAGAAAAAAATATCACCAGTTCTGGAACAGTAGAATTGCAGTCTTAGTTATTCTGATGTTAGTTCTTTAGCATCCACACCTGTCTGTGTGTCTCTTAGGTAGGTTTGGAGCCTTCCTGTGGCAAGTGGCAGGTGGGTGGGGTCCCATGGGCCTACACATGGAGGCCTTTAGCTGAGGTGAAATAGCGGGCCTTTGGAGCGTGGGCTTGGCGTGCCTGAAGGGCACAGGCTGGTGGAGTGGAGATCCTGTGTGTCTGTGGATCTTCGGCTTGGCAGGCCTTAGGGGTGCAGACTTGTGAAGTGGATATTGTGCAGGCCTGTGCAAGCCTGGAGTGCACAGCCCAGCGGAACGGAGATCATGCTTGTTTGTAACTGCAGCTCGCAGGCCTTGGGGGCATGGCTGGCAGAGCAGAGATCGTGCAGGCCTGTGCAGGCCTGGAGGACCAGCAGAATGGAGATTGAGCTAGCTTGTATCTGCAGTGCAGCAGGCCTTGCGGGCGTGGCTGGCAAAGTAGAGATCATGCAGGCCTGTGCAGGCTTCTGGGGCACGGCCCAGCAGAATGGAGATCGTGAGTGTGTGTATCTCCAGTGTGGCAGGCCTGGTGTCTGCGGCCCAGCAACACAGAGATTGTGCAGGCCTGAGGGCGTGGCCTAGTGGAGATTGTGAATATCTGTGGATCCCCTGCCTTAAGGGTTCCTCCAGCATAGATCGTGCAGGTCTGAGGTGTGGGAGCTTGGGGTAGCACAGCCCTGGCAGGGCAAAGGCACAGGGCTGGAGGATTGGCGATACCAGGAGTAGTGGATCTGGGGGTTTATGGGGCGGGGCTTGGTGTGCACCACCGGCTATTATTTTAGTATATGGTGGCAGTGGAGAGGCCTTCCACAAGCTAGGGGTTCAGAGTGCTGATGTTTCAGCTTTCCCTGGTGCATTATCTCAGTCAAGCGTGTCTCCAGCCTCTTATCAAAGTCCCTAGATCACGGAGGTCAGAAGGTCTGTGGCTGTGTTCCAGTTGCCATCTTAGATCTTGGGACTGCATCAATCTAAAAATTTTCTGCACAGCAAATGAAGCTGTCACTAGAGTTAAGAGACTGCCCACAGAATGGGAGAAAATCTTTGCCAGCTATTCATATGATAAGGGACTAATATCCAGAATCCACAAGGAACTCAAAAAGTCAATCCCCAAAGAATTAACATCCAAATGAAGAAATAGACACATGAATTAAACACGGGATTCTCAAAGGAAGAGGTACAAATGGCCAGTGAATACATGAAGAAGTGTTCAACTTCCCTGACTATAAAAGAGATGCAAATCAAAACTACACTAAGATTGCACTTCACCCCAGTTTGAATGGCCATATTCAAGGGCAATAACAACATTAAATGCTGGTGAGGTTTAGGTGAAATAGGAATCTTCATACACTGTTGGTGGGAATGCAAATTAGTACAACCATTATGAAAAGTAGTATGGAGATTCCTCAAAAACCTAAAGATAGAACTGCCATTTGATCTAGTGATATTGTTCCTGGGCATCTACCCAAAGGAATGTAAGTCAGGATTCAATAGAAACACCTGTACACTGATGTTCACTGCAGCACTATTCACAACAGCCCCATAACTGATGAAAGGATCAAGAAAATGTGGTATATATACACAATGGAGTCTTACTCAGCCATAAGAAATAATGACACTTGGTTTAAAGTAAGTGGATGAAATTGGAGGACATCATGTTAAGTGAAGTAAGCCAGGCTTAGAAAGACAAAGGCCACATGTTTTTCTCTTGTACATGAAAGATCTGAAACCACAAAAACAAGCATGATCATATACAAATTCATATGTAGAACGTATTTGTAATTGTAGAACTACTCTATGGAACTTGGGGGAGGAGGGAAAGGAAAAGAGATTGCTAGAGCATCAACAATATTGTAAAACACAACATCTGTGAAGGTAGATGATATAAGGCTATGTATAGAATGCTGTTGAAAAATGGGGGGGGTGGGAGGTAAATGGTATGGGAGAGCAATGGAAGGGGTTGAAAGGACCAAAGTAAAGTATACCAACAGCAGGAATACATTGAGAAACCCCTTTGAACATTGCCTTAAATATTAATAATGAAAGACAATACTATAAAATAGGTACAGTGTGTGGGAGGGCATACTTGTGTGAGGGGTAGGGGGAGTGAGAGATGCAGGTGAGGGTAGGTGGCTTATGGACTTCATATACTTATATGAAACAGAACAAAGAAACCTCTTGCAACTGCTTTAGGTGAGGTGGTAAGGGGGTTAAGAGGGAGAGACAGTGAGGGTGATCCAACCAATGTATAATATTAGCCTATTTGGAATTGTTACAATGAATCTCCTTTGTACAATGAATATATCCTAATAAAAATTTGTGATAAAAATATAGTAAAATAATAGTAAAAATATGGTAAATAGGAAAATAAGTAAAAAAATAAAAAAGACAAAATGTAAACCAGTAGTGAGGTAACTTACCACACTTTTTGATTTATGTGTGTTGGATGACATTCTGAATCCCTAGGTAAATCCCCCTTAATGGTAGTGTAGAAATACTTTCAATGGGCTATTTGATTTGGTTTTCTAATAAAGAAGAGATTTCTAATTTTCATGTGAAATTAGGTCCGACATCTGACTAAAAGCGAGGACTCTTGCACTGTCATCCTGTGTGACCCTGCAAGTTTTAAAAAAATTATGGTGGCCTAAATTGATTTTTATCAGCAATTAGATGGTGTTATTAAATAAACATGAATGTCTAAGGGATTACAAGTCTTTTACGCAGTAACTGTGAAGGATTAGAGTGGCCACTTGAGACTTTTCTCTTTCAACTCCCTGAAGCTGCATGTCCTACTCTCCAACTCTCAGAGCATTGGGACACAGCTAGAGATGCCAGATTCTCATTATGTATTTTTAGTAGTATAGAAACTCCAGGGAAAACAACTCCATCACTCCATAAAATAAAAATATCCCATAAAATAGCCTCATACCAGGATGTGAGAATTTGAATTTATCATTTACTCTCTCCTAAGCAAGCTCTCATTTCTACTGCAGGCAAGTCATCATCCCCCTTCTCCTTTTCTTCTTCCTCTTGCTTCTCTTCTACCATCTCCTCTCCTGGTTTATCTTTTAGATTTATGATTTAATTCATCATACTCTTTGGGAAACTGTAAGGAATGATTAGGAAGAAAGCAAAATAAGGATCTGATGGGGCTCTATGCACAGAGGTATTCAAGGTGTCCAGTCAGGCTCTGGATGTGTAGCTCAGCCTGTGTATGTGAACTGTGTATCTTCCTTCAGTGTGCTAGCTTATAGCTAGCTTTTAGCTATAAGAAAGATGTTTGGTTTCCCAAAATATTTGCTTCATCTGCTTCATTCAATTTTTTGAATTTAAAAAATAAGTAACAAATCTCAACTCATAGCAATGAAAGGTAAAACTTTCACCAAATGATAAAAATTGTGACCACTTTGGCATTAATGACAGTTGTAAAATATAATATATAAGAAACTGTTTGTTCCTGTTCTGTTTGTAGAGTCAACATTTCATATAGTAAAGTCTTTTATGTAAAATAGGGAACAAAGCTTACTTACCATTTCTTCGGCAGACCAAGACAAAATGTGTGAATAGTATCTATCATTTTTTATTATTATGTACTATATTCAATGCTGAATAGTAAATGCTTGACCTCATTTGGCACAATTTTCCAAGAAGGAAGATACTGTTATTTTCATTTAGAGAGAAGTATTTTTAACTTACCAGTGTCCACTTAGTAGCAGCTGGAATAGGCAGAGAACCTGGCATTTTGTGTGTGCATGTGTGTGTGTACATATAGCTAGTAAAGAGGAGAATCTGAGCTTTATCATCCTACCAGTAATTAGGATTAAACACAATGGAAAACAATTCTAACTCTTGGATTAGACTAAAGACGGAATAGGCTGCCTTCACAGGTTTTGTAGTGCTGGTCACTGCAGTATTCAATGTTAGTTTGGATAATCCACCAGCAAAATAACTGTATAGGGCTTTTTAGTGGAGGACTAGATGATTTGTACAGACTCCAGTCAAATTGGAATTACAGATTCCCCATTCTGCAAGTTCCATGACAGACAGTCTAAGATTTTGTTGGGATGCACAATGCCTGGAAGTCAGGTTCACCGATCACATAAACAGCCATGATTAGCACTGCCTCAGACTTGAAATGTTTAGGAGGAGATGGGGACTTTGAGAGAGGGATTCTCAGTATTTCTGCCTTATTTGTGTTTTTTTAATTGTAGTGAAATCATTGATTAATGAGAAGTACTGTGTTATGTTCCTTTCTTTTTTCTTTGTTTATTAATCTGAACATTTATTAATCCTAATACTCTATGAAAACACAGTGGGTCACAAAACAAAAGTAAAACCACTCTCCAGTGTGGAACTTAATTTTTTGTACACATGAAAAAATACTCAGATGATGCACAGGAAAGTTTGTTGTGTAAATGAGTTAAACTAAATTTTTCCTTAGCTCTTGGCGTAAACTTTTGGGTTTCTTATTTCTTTGCCTTCCATTCAGTTCTCCACTGAGGTAGAAGTCAACCAAATACTACACCCTCTAGATTAACTCATGAGAGGTTTCCTTCATGAAGAGCTTATGCATGGTTTCCAGCAAGTTGAGTACAAATAAAATGATATTTTAATCAAGTATTCCTCTCATAACTTAAAAATGGCATTGTCAATCTTAATCTCTGTATAATTAACATGTCTTATAATATTTGTTCTTCCTACACTTGACCATTTCTAAATACCTGGTACTGCACTATGATTTGAAATAACAAGCAGTTTGGCTAACTTACAAAAAAATCCCTAATTATTTCTAAATAAAAATCAAATACAATTTATTATTTAGCCTTAGATTAGCCAATTATCATCTTATAGAACTGTGTTGCTTTCTTTGGAAAAAAATTAATATCTTATCCAGATTCTTTGCTTTTGAAAAATTTTAACAAATATGTTATGTAGACAAAATTTTGTATTTTGTCTAAAAGATCGCAGTATATGATTATCTTTTAGTTTGTGTGTGGATATTTATAAATTCCGAACTCAATCACAAACATCTGAATTAGTGTAATTCAAATCTTCATCAATCTGTAGAAGTTTAGAAACAGGAACAATCAATGAATTTTGGTTTTCTTAGGGACAATGCAGTCCCAAGAATTATTTACTTTACACAATGCTTTTATTTCATATTTGCTTCCTAAATTCTAATAACTTGTGGTTATTATTATAGTACTTAGTTTTCTTGGGTCAGTAACTGTGATACCACATTGCCAAAAACCACTGGCAAGGAATTAAGTTTTTTAGATATTGGTTTCTTCATCATGAGAGGCTATCAGTATGGATAATTGGCCAGATTGAAAAGTTGTATTTATGTCATAAATCTAATAGTTTTTCTGAATTTTGGAGAAAATTAGTTCTAGTAATTTTTTATATGAATAAATTGAGAATAAAAAATTTACATAACCTTCCCAGGTTCAAATGTCTACTGAGTGGTAGAACTGGGGAGAGGACTCAGGTCTTAAGACTCTTGTAAATATTGGAGTGGATGAACCAAACCAGGGTATACTATATGTGGATATGGAAATATCACAACAAACCCCCTGTGTAACTATCACATACTTATAAAATGGTTCTTTAAAGACTTTCCTGTCATGTGTTGTGCTCTTTCATGTATAGAACATTGTCTCTGACTAAGGTGTTCTCTTTTATGGTAACTTTGTCCATTCAGAATACAACACCAAAATGGGCATTTGGCAAAATATACCAGAGATATGAATGTTTATATTCATAACACTTTTAGGAAATAATAAAAGATGCAGAAATATTTTTGTAATTAAGTGTTTATTCTTATAATTTATAATAGACAAAAAAAGAAAAAATCTCAGTTATCAAGGTAGGGTCCTTAAAAAGAAATGTGTTCATTTGATGGATTTACATATAGCCATAAAAACTATGTCATAGAAGAATTTTAATGACTGAAGGACTATCATAATATGATGTAGAATGCAAAACTATGTATAATCTCATGTCTTCCTTGGATATATATGCATAGAAAAAATTATAAGGTTATATTAAAAATTCATTCTCAGTGGGATTAAGGATAGTTTTTTAGCAAGTAATTTTCTTCATTTCTTTATTTTTTATTTTTCAAGAATTCTACAATTAACATTTTTGAGGCCTGACCAGTTTCTATTGAAGAAAAGTGGAAACTTTTTCATCTTAGATGGTAGGAAGGACACAGGCTATGGTAGGCTGTTTGGGGTAAAATGAGACAAAGTACTTAACATATTTTGTCACCAAAATTTAAAGGATTTAAAGGGTGCAATATTTTCCTCTTCTCAAGTGTTCTTTCCCTGGGGAGTGGTTTCAACAAATAATTCCATAACATCCTCATTTCTAAGATTTAGCATCATGGATTACAAGTATCTGTCCAGGATATGCACCTAGTACCCACTTCATTTATTTTTTGAATTTTATCAGGGGCTATGGTTCCCTGTTCTGGGTTTTACATTTATTTTCACATATTTTCCATCTCCCCTTCATCTTAATATATTGTGCATTATAGTACACAAAAGTAATCATTAAGAGTACAAGAAAACATCCTAAGGAGAAACACACATAACTCCATGACTTTTCCATACTCTGTTAAAGTTCTGATTGTGATCCTTTTAGCCATCTCCAAGACACAATGGAGTTGGAGGTATGACCCCCCCCCAACTCCACATCTACATAAATAGAACTGACACTGCATGTGGACTTTTTAATACTTTCCCCCATAAAGTTTCTGCTAATATCCCGTAAGAGTGGTGTCCAATAGGAAATGTTGAAAATATTTTTTAATGTAATGACTGTCCAAGATTATAAGAGCCCTAGTATTTATCCTCCTGTAAGTAATGATGATGTCATTCATTACAGTTACATTTTCTTATTTTGTAGATTTTTGCTCTTACAGCACATGAATACTTCTGCTTCTTGCTTGAATTTCAAGATAAAACATCATGGAAAGAGAAAATCAAACAACTCTCTCTGAATTCATCATCTTGGGGTTCTCTAACTTAAATGATTTGCAATTTTTACTCTTTGCCATTTTTCTTATGATCTATCTTTGTACCTTGGCAGGAAATGTCTTCATTATTTTAATGACATTGGCTGATTCTCGACTACATACGCCCATGTACTTTTTTCTGAGGAACTTGGCCTTTCTTGACATCTGCTATACCACCACCAATGTCCCTCAGATGATGGTGCATTTTCTGTCAGAGAAGAAAAGCATTTCCTTTGGGGGTTGTGTAACTCAACTTTTTGCATTCCTTTTCTTTGTGGGTGTAGAGTGTCTTTTGCTGGCAGCAATGGCATATGATCGTTACATTGCAATCTGCAAACCCTTACAGTATTCAGTTATCATGAACAAGGCCCTGTATAGTCAGTTAGCAGCCTCATGCTGGGGTTGTGGTTTCCTCAACTCAGTGGTGCACACAGTACTGACATTCCGTCTGCCCTTCTGTGGCAACAACCAGATTAATTATTTCTTTTGTGACATCCCGCCTTTGCTGATTTTATCTTGTGGAGACACATCTGTGAATGAATTGGTGTTACTCTTCATTGGTGTCTTCATTGGATGGGCCCCTTTCCTGGGTATCATCCTTTCCTACATATATATCATCTCTACCATTTTGAGAATCCACTCTTCTGAGGGGAGACAAAAAGCATTTTCTACATGTGCTTCCCACCTGGTCATTGTCCTCCTCTATTATGGCAGCTCCATCTTCACTTATGTACGGCCCATCTCATCTTATTCATTGGCAAAAGACCGGCTGATTTCAGTGTTGTACAGTATTGTCACCCCTATGCTAAATCCAATAATTTATACCCTGAGGAATAAGGACATCAGAAAGGCCCTGAGAGCTGTAGGAGAAAAAGTAACAACCTTCAAATTTTATTTTCTTTGAAATATAATGTCAATTCATTAAAGAGATCAAAAAATCTACCGTGAAATTTATATGGAAACACAGGAAGCCACAAATACCCAAGGCAATACTCAGTCAAAAGAACAATGCAGGAGGTATCATAATACCTGACTTCAAACTATATTACAAAGCAATAACAATAAAAACAGCATTGTACTGGCACAAAACAGACATGAAGACCAGTGGAACAGAATAGAGGACCCAGATATGAAGCCACACAACTATAAGCAACTTGTCTTTGACAAAGGAGCTAAAAATATACGATGGAGAAATAGCAGCCTCTTCAACAAAAACTGCTGGGAAAACTGGTTAGCAGTCTGCAAAAAACTGAAACTAGATCCATGTATGTCACCCTATACCAATATTAACTCAAAATGGATCAAGGATCTTAATATCAGACCCCAAACTCTAAAGTTGATACAGGAAAGAGTAGGAAATACTCTGGAATTAGTAGGTATAGGTAAGAACTTTCTCAATGAAACCCCAGAGCACAGCAACTAAGAGATAGTATAGATAAATGGGACCTCATAAAACTAAAAAGCTTCTGTTCATCAAAAGAAATGGTCTCTAAACTGAAGAGAACACCCACAGAGTGGGAGAAAATATTTGCCAACTATACATCAGACAAAGGACTGATAACCAGAATATATAGGGAACTTAAAAAACTAAATTCTCCCAAAACTAATGAACCAATAAAGAAATGGGCAAGTGAACTAAACAGAACTTTCTCAAAAGAAGAAATTCAAATGGCCAAAAAACACATGAAAAAATGCTCACCATCTCTAGCAATAAAGGAAATGCAAATTAAAATCACCCTAAGATTCCACCTCACCCCAGTTAGAATAGCCATCATCAGCAACACCACCAACAACAGGTGTTGGTGAGGATGTGGGGAAAAAGGAACCCTCTTACACTGTTGGTGGGAATGTAAACTAGTACAACCACTCTGAAAAGAAATTTGGAGGCTACCTAAAAATCTAAACATAGATCTACCATATGATCCAGCAATACCACTCTTGGGGATATATCCAAAAGACTGTGACACAGGTTACTCCAGAGGCACCTGCGCACCCATGCTTATTGCAGCACTATTCACAATAGCCAAGTTATGGAAACAGCCAAGATGCCCCACCACTGAAGAATTGATTAAGAAAATGTGGTATCTATACACAATGGAATTTTATGCAGCCATGAAGAAAAACAAAATGTTATTATTCACTGGTAAATCGATGGAATTGGAGAACATCATTCTGAGTGAGGTTAGCCTGGCCCAAAAGACCAAAAATCGTATGTTCTCCCTCATATGTGGACATTAGATCAAGGGCAAACACAACAAGGGGATTGGACTTTGAGCACATGATAAAAGCGAGAGCACACAAGGGAGGTGTGAGGATAGGTAAGACACCTAAAAAATTAGCTAGCATTTGTTGCCCTTCACGCAGAGAAACTAAAGCAGATACCTTAAAAGCAACTGAGGCCAATAGGAAAAGGGGACCAGGAACTAGAGAAAAGGTTAGATCAAAAAGAATTAACCTAGAAGGTAACACACATGCACAGGAAATCAATGTGAGTCAATGCCCTGTATAGCTATCCTTATCTCAACCAGC